AAAGGATCTTAACATGTATAGCTTGGAGGAAAGACGAGACAGGGGGGATATGATAGAAACATTTAAATACATAAAGGGAATCACCACAGTAAAGGAGGAGACTATATTTAAAAGAAGAAAAACTACCACAACAAGAGGACATAATCTTAAAATAGAGGGGCAAAGATTTAAAAATAATTTCAGGTATTACTTTACTGAGAGGGTAGTGGATGCATGGGATAGCCTTCCAGCTGAAGTGGTAGGGGTTAACACAGTGAGGGTGTTTAAGCATGCGTGGGATAGGCATAAGGCTATTCTAACTATAAGATAAGGCTAGGGACTAATGAAAGTATTTAGAATATTGGGCAGACTAGATGGGCCGAATGGTTCTTATCTGCCGTCACATTCTATGTTTCTAAGTTAAAAAACAGTATATAATATGTTTCGGTGCAATAAATTAGTAAAATGCAAATTGCAGTTGAACACAAACAACTAAAAATGCAAAAATTGCTTGTGTCATTAAGCATAAGACAAGCTTCTGAAGCTGTGTCCTCAAGGGGTTAAGATTCTGTTTGTGTAAGGGAACAATTGACAACAAGCCAGTCAATAATTCATTACAGACCCAAGTTGCCATGCTAGTCTGTCCATGCATACCTCGGGCATTACTGAATCATCCTTTTCTGTTTCTGCAGTAAGACCCTTCAGGTATCTACTATCCATTTTGTTTCTTCTAACATTAAATTGATTTCTTTTTATTAAGAGTGCTTGAGCTGTGACCATTTCTTTTTAGGAAGAATCAGTACACAAAGGCTGCGTATGACCTTGCGTACCAAGTGATGAACAGACTGCGTTTCTTACCATTTCTCAGCGATCTCATTTTCTATCTCAGTCCGCAAGGGCCGCAGTTTAGAAGAGATTGTAAAATATCACATGAATACACAGGTAAGGTGACTGAAGTCATTTATGGCAGGGGTGCCCAAAAGTTACAACTCCCATGAGAATGACAAAGCATTATGGACTCTGTAGTTTTAAAACATCTGGGGATCTACTTTTTGGGCAGCCTTGATTTATGGGGACAAATATTTATATGAGTTGTGAGAATATTTGTATGACCTGGTTATCCACTCTATCAGCTGGGCCATGTTAAAAAAAACCACCTAAACCATAGGTTCTTAGTTTTGTGTTTTGAAAGGGATACACAGGTACAAAACATTGGCCTGGCGACCCATTCTTTAATGTATTTATATATTTGAATGTATTATTTTATGCATGTATTTATTTCAGAACTTGATGGCCAACTGAAAATAGTTTTTTCCCTTAATTCCTATTCTTATTGTATAAGTTATATAGGGTAAATCACTAAACTCTGGATTTTGCTGAGTAAACATAATCTGGTGAAGATGTACGATTTCCGACCGCAGAGGCAATTCTCAGATTTACCAAAGCCAAATGAGGTCAGGATTTGGTTGGTCCGACCAATTCTATAACATTGGTTCTGATGAGTTCTAAAAATCACTAATATCCGCATCTGAACCAATTTACAGCATCCCATGGCGGCCAATGAGAAACCAAATCCGTCTTGAAGGACATTCACGTATTATGATTCATTTACATTTTTGCAAGTGAAATGACAATTTGAAGAACTTAGTGCAGAACATGCAGTGCTAACAGACAGCAGGCAAATAGTTAACAATCCAGCCACCACATTAAAAAAGCGAAAATAAATACATTTAATAACAAAAAATCAAATTGGAATCAATGTAAAGGAGGTAATGTACATATCTGTGCATGTGCACATCTACTAAACATTTAAAACTAGTAGCGACTGGTTGGGCCTGTAAATTCCATGAAGTACCCATGGGCATCAGGTAGGGACTACTTTAAATTTTAAGGGGGGATCTATTGTCCCCTCTTGTGGCCCTCACTCATGCCAGAGGGTGGGGGCCATCATATTTTTAAATTTGGGGGAACTATTGTCCCTTCCTCAGCAACAACCCATGCCAGAGTATGGCGGCCCTAATGCTTGCAATAACAGGGGGATCTATTGCCCTCTGCCCTGGGCCTTACTGTAACAAAAGACTAGCAGTCTCTAATAACATACACCCCCCAGGCTTTTTTTAAAGAACTGGGCTGGGGGTGTTAACTGTCTATCTCCTGTGCTCCCCCTGGCTCTCATTTAAAGAATTAAAGCAAGGAGGGACATAATTAAATATACTCAGGAATGTCATAGTCCACCCCCAAAATGTTGTCCACTCACATACCTCTGGGTGGTTAGAGGTCCAAAACCCTCTCTAGCCATCTCCACCTAGTAATAGTAATGGGGATCCAATTAATTTAATACTTTTTTTTTCTCAAATCTTCTTTTTTTCTGCCCCAAGAAAACTGTAAAATAATTAAAATTCCGGCGCATAAAAAATAAATAAATCCAATTTAAACCCATGGAGAGCTGTGCATAGAATGACCTTCCAAGGTGGAAAACACCTTCTTTTTTTTTTTAAATTCTTTATTTTCTTTGTGCAGGGAATAACAAAACATTTGTCAATGCCACAACAGCATATTTAAAGGCATAAACACAGTAGTTGTACATTTATGGCATGAGAGTATCGGCACATTTTATAATTGTTATGTTATGAACAAGCTATTCTGTTAGTGATGTCTTTCTAGGTAGACTATTGTACGAGAGGCATTAGTCTATATGGTGGAGATTTCAACAGAAGATAACAGTATGATTAGTTAAATGAAAAATTAACAGTACATGTGTATTGTTAGTATGGCTGTCAGCATGGCATCTTTAATTAATTTAAATTAATGTCGCTAAACAAGCCACTCTTATATAGAAGGTGAGATGCCCTTACGATCAGGTGATAAACTGTGAGATATGTATTAAGAAAAGAAAAATTCTCTCAGTGACTGGGAGAATGTGATACTGTCACTAAATGTGCCTGTATGGTTGCATTTGTGAATTTGCATATTTCCCTGAGTATGCCTGTGTGAGTGTGTCATTGTTTGTATCTGTGTGTCAATGTTTGTATCTGTGTGTCAATATTTGTATCTGTGTTACAGTGTTTGTATCTGTGTGTCAATGTTTGTATCTGTGTGTCAGTGTTTGTATCTGTGTGTCAATGTTTGTATCTGTGTATCTGCATTTGTATCAGTATGTGTGTTTGTGAATTTGCATGTGTATCATTGTGTGTAACTGCATGTATGACTGTGTGTTTATCTGTTCGTGTATTTGTATATTTGTGTGTCTGTATGGTTGCATCTGTGACTGTATGTGTGCCTTCAGGATTATGTGTATATCTTTTTTTTTGCATGCACAAATCTCTATATATGCCTGTGTAAGTATAAATGTCTGTACTGTTGCATCTGTTTTGAATGCTTGTATCTGAGTGTTTTAAATATGTTATCAGAGTTGTGTCAGCATATGTGTGTATTTGTGCGTACGTGCCTCTGTTTGACAATTTCAGGTATTTTTCAAACCTAGAAAGATAAAGGTGTGGATCAAGGACAAAAAAGTCCAAGGTGCACGTTAAAGAATCCTCAGAGTTAAAAACACTTAAAGATACAGAAAAATAAATATTAAAAAATAATAATTAAACACTCCACATGTAAAGAATTGAGGAGAGCAATGAAGCTCGGCTGACCTGAGGGGGATATGAGACTGGCAAATTTATAGGGATAGCTAGTATAAAGGGATAATATGGGCTGGTTCTAATTTCTATAACCCTTTACTCTAATTGGTGTATTCTACTCTGACATTATCCATTATTTAAGCTTCACACTTGGCGATACCTATTAATATATTATCATAGTTACATAGTTACATAGTTACATAGCTGAAAAGAGACTTGCGTCCATCAAGTTCATCCTTCCTCACATTTGTTTTTTGCTGTTGATCCAAAAGAAGGCAAAAAAACCCAGTTTGAAGCACAATTTTGCAACAAACTAGGAAAAAAATTCCTTCTTGACCCCAGAATGGCAGTCAGATTTATCCTTGGATCAAGCAGTTATTACCCTACATTGAAAGATTATATCCTTGAATGTAGGGTAATACTAGCTATCCCTTTATACTATCTATCCCTATACATTTGCCAATCTCATATCCCCCTCAGGTCAGCTGAGCTTCATTGCTCAGTGGAGAGTTTAATTATTATTTTTTATTATTTATTTTTCTGTATCTTTAGGTTTACAAATAAAAGTGTTTTTAACTCCTGTGAGGGAGTTTAAGCATGCGTGGGATAGACATAAGGCTATCCTAACTATAAGATAAGGCCAGGGACTAATGAAAGTATTTAGAAAATTGGGCAGACTAGATGGGCCGAATGGTTCTTATCTGCCGTCACATTCTATGTTTCTAAGTTAAAAAACAGTATATAATATGTTTCGGTGCAATAAATTAGTAAAATGCAAATTGCAGTTGAACACAAACAACTAAAAATGCAAAAATTGCTTGTGTCATTAAGCGTAAGACAAGCTTCTGTATAACTCTGAGGATTCTTTAACGTGCACCTCAGACTTTTTGTCCTTGGTCCACATCCTTTCTCTTTCTTGTTGAATTAAGGGTTACCCCCTGTCACGATATCCTCAGGACACACTATAACTCCCCCTATCCAGAGGGGTACATCCCGTTTTTCTATTTTCCAAACCTAGCAACTGCCCCGAGGACAGATAATGTCAAACCTATCTAATTGCCTTGTACAAAGATCAGGGTGCTGAAATGAACGTGAACTACTTAGATTCTGAAAGAAATATTGAATAATTAGGATTTAGAAATAATTATAAAGAACAGACTAGACACTATGCAATGTCAATCGACAGTGACCATTAAGGTACTGTCATCTCAAATAATTCACTTTCATAAAACATAATTTGCCTCTTCATGTGAGGTACAATTTGGGGAATGTAAAGAAGGTTATAAGTGAGCTGAGAAGAGCACACAGGAAAATTGCAACATTGCCTGTCCCTGTATTAATGTAGAATTCTACAACTGGTATAGTTTGGTGATCTTTTGGTTCTGACCCATTACATTGATGATTCTGTTATTTAGGGAAAGGTCTTTTGATTTTGGATGGACAGAAGTGGTTTCAGCACCGTCGCCTGCTTACCCCTGGCTTTCATTATGATGTACTTAAACCATACACTAAACTGATGTCTGATTCTACGGTAGTCATGCTGGTAAGTGGTTGGCGTGGCAATAGATCTGTGTACAGCAAGTAAAAAAAAACATAAAAAACTCTTTTAATATTAAATGAGTCAGACTTTTTTCATCCTACTGCCTTCTTTTTTTTAACATTTTTATAATTAATGCAAAAGAGTGATGCATGTGAATGTCTGAAATTACACTTGGCAATATATATACACCCCCTTCCTACTTGGCTTCCTGCCCAACTTCCCCGACAACAACAGCAGGAACTTTATCAACTCTACCGCTCAATCAGATGTAACCATGTGGCTTTAATTCCCTGCTAGATAGAATGGGCATTCCTCACTTATCTAGGGACTGGACGGACACAGCAGCAAGTTCATTACTATGTATTCAATTATGATTGACACTCTGCTCGCCCTGAATATCCATTTACTAATAAAAGGGCTATTCCTTTGCAGTTCTGATAGGGGTTAATTCGTATTGTTGAGATAAATCTTAATTTTCAGATTATCCAGTTTCTCCATCGATTTGCATGAAATATTATTATTATTTTATTATTATTTTATTATTTATATAGCGCCATCACATTCCGTAGCGCTGTACAATGGGTGGACTAACAGACATGTAATTTTAACCAGACAATTGGACGTACAGGAACAGAGGGGTGGAGGGCCTTGCTCCATGAGCTTACATTCTAGAGGGAGTGGGGTATAGTGTCACAGAGGGTAAAAGTAGGGGTACAAAGTAGGTTGTTTGAAAAGTATTCATTGAGGGCTTAGTAGGTAATTTTTGACAGTTGAGAGGAGTCATGGGGGATAAAAACCTGCTCACAGTTTAACTGATATGCCTCTGAAGAGGTTCTATAGAAAAAACAAACTATTATAGGATCTATTAAATTTGAAATAGATTTATACTTTTAGAAATGAACTTGGTCTCTGAGATGATTAAAGCATTAAGAGGTATAACATTTTATAAAAAGATGTTTTATGCATATAGTCCTGGGAATAAGGAGGTGTGCTTCTCTGAATTCTTTGTATTTTTTTACAGATCAGGACATAGCAATCGCCGGTTCCTTGGCAGGTCTTAAAGTTTAGGTAAACACAACCTCAGATCAACAACAACACATTTCATATTATACCGTATCATGAATTATGGAGAAGCCATGTGTGAAAAACCAACTACACTGTGGCGGAACTAGCCACCTGTTCGGATTATGTGCCTTTCTTTTAAATCATGGACTTATCTGGTTCGGCAATTGGGGTCCACCGAACAAGTTATAACTGTATTGTTCGTATACTGAACAAACTCCCGAACAGTTAGACCACACAGGGGAGTCGTGTGCTGCCAATTGACCCTATTAACCTCCTTTACACTTAGAAACTGCAATGTTCTAGGTGGTCGGCTAGGTGTTTGGGCATCGAGTGCATGGGATTATAATCAGACACTCACCGAACCAAACACCGCTAGGCCTTCCATCTCTACGTGTGTTCGGTTCCATTCACCTGAAAAGAGTGGCATTTGTTAGGAGCAAACTCCAAACGAGGGGCACACAACCAACGGATATACGAACTGTAACATGCGTTACTTTATTGTTTTTCATACTCCCGAAAGAGACCGACTGCTCCGCCTGAATTCATGGAACTCTTTTGGGCAGGCGCCTCGAGTGCGGTCGGTCTAAACTATAACCCGGTGGCGTTTTGGCTGGGTTTGTGGGATCTGAGTGCTTTTGGGATATGTTGGGCGCTCGGATCCAGGCTACCTGGGGATATAGTACTTGAGGGGGTACCTTATTGTTAAAGGGGTGTTTTTGTTTATTCATGTACATGTCCTGGTCCTGAGAGGTAATGTAATTATATTGTGTATTTTGTCCCTGTCCCCTCTCAGATCCAGTTGGGAATGCCCCTGGAATGTGCTACAGTAAACCCCTTGCATGTGGACACACATAAAAGGCTGTGCGTGGCTCCCATTAAACGGATGACTCCCATAACTGTGTATCGTACGGTTACTGGGGGAATTGAGATTATACTGCTGAACTACACTTTCCTGAGGACTGTAGAGTCTGAGATTTAACTCTCGGGTATTTTTTTGCAATTCCCCATGCTCTGACCTTAAGGTTAATTTACCGGGACATCCACTTCAGGGAACATTGGCAACTGTCTTGAATATTTTCCACTTTTGAATAATCTCGCTGTAGAATCATGGACTTTAATTATTTGGAATGACCTTATAATCCTTCCCAGTTTGATGGGCAGCAACAATTGCTATGCTAAGATCATTGCTGATGTCTTTGCTCCTTGGCATTGTGTTAATACAAACCTAAATCCTAAATTCTCCAGACAAGCAAACTACTAAAACTTTGACTTTTGTAGAGGTAGTCATAACTGCTGATGATCAATTAATCAAGAACATTAGATTAGCAGCACCTGTCTGCTACTTAACCTCTTAATTCACAAGGAAGCAGTAACAGTGTACTTGTGTTTTTCACACATGGCTTCTCCATTTTTCTGCTAAGGAACACATGATTATTATAACCATAGAATTCGAAGAGGGTGTACTTTCTTTTTTCCAAGAATATATGTATAATCTAATTCTGTTGCTTTTGTACAAATCGTGAAGTGGATGCAGATTTCCCTGCCAATTTTGGTTCTCCTGTTTTCAAAGGTACTCTATGAAGATGATGTGAAGAGGGATTAATGGATACAATGATGTGCCAGAAATACTAGTAATGGTGGTGTGTGGACGCAGAGCGTGCGAGCTGGAGCTATAGAGGTGAGGGAACTGAGGGCAATTGTAATGAGGAAGCTACTAAGCTTTTATAAAGAGGTGTGGGTTTTTCTTAATGACGTCTTAAAGAACTAGACAGCCTAATGGCACGCAATCGGGAATTTGGGTCAGCACTTGAAAAGTCAGTACATGAAACTACCTGGCATTCTAATAACAGCCACAGTGATGATATTTATAATATAAAGAACACTGGTGAGATCTCACTTGGAGTATTGTACGCAGTACTGGAGACCGTATCTTCAGAAGGATATTGATACCTTAGAGAGGGTTCAGAGAAGGGCTACTAAACTGGTTCATGGATTGCGGGATAAAACTTACCAGGAAAGGTTAAAGGATCTTAACATGTATAGCTTGGAGGAAAGACGAGACAGGGGGGATATGATAGAAACATTTAAATATATAAAGGGAATCAACACAGTAAAGGAGGAGACTATATTTAAAAGAAGAAAAACTACCACAACAAGAGGACATAGTCTTAAATTAGAGGGACAAAGGTTTAAAAATAATATCAGGAAGTATTACTTTACTGAGAGGGTAGTGGATGCATGGAATAGCCTTCCAGCTGAAGTGGTAGAGGTTAACACAGTAAAGGAGTTTAAGCATGCGTGGGATAGGCATAAGGCTATCCTAACTATAAGATAAGGCCAGGGACTAATGAAAGTATTTAGAAAATTGGGCAGACTAGATGGGCCGAATAGTTCTTATCTGCCGTCACATTCTATGTTTCTATCTATGTTTCTATAACAATGATATTTATACCTGTCTGTTAGCTCTCCATCAAGGATTGCATGACGGATAAACTTTAGAATACAAAGGGTTGGTAGCACTTGTACATTACCATACTTGGACCCAATCAAGCCAGGTCCTAGGTTCAGACAAATGTGTATTTCTGTGTTGTAAAATAATAACAATTAGAACATACCTCTTAACGTCTTAAATGGACAAAGAGGGACACTTTAATTTTTAGTTATGGCGTGTGGTCAGGGGTGTGGCTGATTCTAGTTGGCCACTTCTGTAACAAAATATAGTTAATAACAAAGTATGCCACTTACTGTATATTAAAGGCACATTAATGTGAGTATTATCTGTGGAGCTCTGTTATTCACTCAGACACATTAATAACATGAACCAATAATATGGATAGAGAAGAGGGACAGAGTGCTTTAAGCCCCAAATAGGGACTGCCCCTCCTAAATAGGAACACTTGGTATGTATACATTAGAAGCAGTTTGTGGGGAGTGGTTTACAAAGGAAAAAACAGATCTAGTATGTGTGGGGTGGGTGATGGTCATGTTAATATCACACTTTGGATTTAGCAAAGCCAGACCAACATTAACAGCATTAAAGTATGTTTTTTTTGTTTTTTTTTACCTTTTCCTCTAAAGCAGGGGTCCTCAAACTCCGTCCCCCCAGATGTTGCTGAACTACTCCCATGATTCTCTGGCTATCTATGTAATTCAAAGAATCATGGGAGTTGTAGTTCAGCAACATCTGGGGGGCTGGAGTTTGAGGACCCCTGCTCTAAAGTAATATTTTTATTAGTTTTTATTATTATTATTATTATTATTATTATATATTTTTTTTAATTTATATATTTTTAAAGCTATTAAAGCTCTTGACACAGTTGTGTTGGTGGGCCTCAGTATTAATATAATTGTGGCGAAACCAACCTCGCCACTGTACACTGGAGAAGCCTGGTTGATCGCATGCTGCCTTTGGACTTTGGCCCCATGTTAAAAGACATCTTTTTTTCCCTGCAGAAAAGACTTATTCGTGCTTTTCTGCTGGGTGTTCGGTAGATTTGTTTGAGTGTGTTGTTCCCCAGATAGGAATCCCATGGAGCCCATTCGCATGAAACTGAGTGTGTAAAGACTTTGGCTCCATGGCAATTAAACTGTATTCGTGTGGTCTGAGCGCCATTCGCTTAATAATGTGCGCTCGGACCTGAGCTATCTGGGGATATGTAGAACGTATATGTTTTATGTACTGAATGTAACTGTAGGTAATTTTATGTCTTTTTCTGTTTGTTTTCTGCCATGTGGTTAATGGAGTTTTGCCTCTGTCTTTGGAGATAATTGAATTACTTCTCAATTATCTCCAGAGCAGAGAGGAGGGATTGTGATGCATTGTGGGATGGTTTACATGTGTAAGTCTGTGATTGGTCCTTTTACCCTTTGTGTCCCAGTCTCCCATTTGGTCCCCTAGGGGAGTGTCCACCAGGTGGGAGACCTGCATAAAAGCGGGCAGTTAGCCCCAGTAAATCAGTTCCTGCTTAACCCTCAAAGTGAAGTGTCGTCTCATTATTG